TTTATCAGTAAACCGATTGGTAATCTTTATATCTTTATGTCCTAATTAGTCCTAACAACAATAACAATCTACAATAATATTTACTCTTGTGATAAAATTTCCAAGAATAACTTTAGGGGGGGGTCTAAGTTTTCTTTTTTCATATTTGTTTTTAAGTTAAAAACTACACAGGCGGTAAAATAAATTTTATTAAAGCTAGAATATTAGTTTATTCCTTGAAAAAAATTAAGTTAAGTTTATTAACTCATTCTAAGAATGAGAAAAAGCCTAGCAAGAGGTTTTAATTCGTTTTTAAATTTAATCTTTATGATTTAACATTTAAATATCATTTGTTACTCTACCTTTTCTTAAGTTTAAGTTTAATTTTAATTTTAATATTATTAAATTTGTTGTAATTTGAACCCTTGAACCAAGTTCGACATATCTGTAGGATTGATCCGAGAGACGGGTAAATGGCCGAACATGTTAACCTTGACAAGTCGGTGAATCTCGGACGCAGACACTGCCGCGGGGCAATGAGGGGTTAAGTGGCTTTGCTATTCCAAAGATCGCCAAAGAAATGCGAATGTTCATGATGATCATCATCATCATGATGACGATGATGCTGAGCAATAATAAACGGAATTGCGAGCACTTTTTAACGATTGTTATGTGGCCTGAGATTTCCACATAGCGGCGGCGGCAGAGATCTTTAATGGGTTAATAATGAGACCAGGCTATAGATGAACCATACAGTGGGGTTCATAAGTCTATAAACCTAAGGTTTAAAACTAAATTATTTGGTTTTTATTTGATTTTATTGTTAAAAAAATGTAATAATGAGCTTTACATATTTTTAAATATTTTTAAATTAGTTAAAAAATGTATTAAAGTGCTTTACATATTAAAAAATATTTTTAAAATTTAATTTAATGCTTTACATATTTTAAAATATTTTTTAAATTTAATTTAATTTTGTTTTTAATCGATTTAATTGTTAAAAAATGTAATAAAGTGCTTTACATATTTTAGAATATTTTGTAAATTAAATTTAAAATGGCTTTTAATTGATTTAATTGTTTAAAAAATTTAAGAAAGTGTTTTACATATTTTAAATTATTTTTTAAATTAAATTAAATTTGGCTTTTAATCGATTTTATGCTTAAAAAAATGTTAATAAAGCGCTTTACATATTTTAAAATATTTTCTAAATTAATTTAAAAATATTATTGTATTGTATCTAATACTTTATACATTATTATATATTATTATATATATCATAATTATATATATATTATCCCCACTGTCTTGGAGCCAAGTAACCGTTACTTGGCACCAACTAAAAATGGCCAACGCGAAATGAGTTCAAGTTGTTGCCTCTTTTGGTGGCTTCGCTCTGTCGTTGCATTACTAACCCAAAGAAAGGTGAAAGAAATACTTGTAAATCCAAACCGTTGAGATAGTGAGGCGTGAAAAATGCAGCAGTCACAAACCGCAGCAACCACCGAAGCCATTCCGTTTTTGGCCAAAACAATTATCTAATAATGAGTGGAGGAGCCCAGTTTGGTCATAACATTTTAATGGGAAATGTAGTATGTGTAAGTCAAGAGCTTAGATTTTGTGAGGCGAAAAAATGTAAGAAAACATAAAATCTTTGTGGGTAATAACTTGGTCTAGACGGGAAATGAAAATGGAATTTTCCATAAAAAAAAAAATGCTAAAAATATTACATTTTTGTGGAGTAAAAATGCCTTGAAATTATATATCTTTTAGCCTTAGAAAATATTTAATGTAATATTTTAATGTAATATTTTAATTGAATATTTTAATTGAATATTTTAATTGAATATTTTAATTGAATATTTTAATTGAATATTTTAATTTAATATTTTATTTTAATATTTTAATTGAATATTTTAATTTAATTTAATAATAAAAATATAAAACCTTAGAAAACATTTCAAATAAATATTACAAAAATATATTTAAAATTCTTTTGAAGGCCTTAAACAAATATAGGAACTACTAGACCCTCTTGACTTTTTCCCTGACTGAAAATAATTATTTTCGAGGAGAAAACACTTCAAGATCGATGAGGCTTTGTCCTTCCGCGTTTACTCTAATTGTCGAAACGGAAAACCAGGCGGGTTCTGCTCTCAATTTTGTTGTATTATTATTGTTTATTTTGTATTGTTTTTGGCACTTAACGCTGTTGTGCAAATTTTTCGCCGTTTGCTTGTGCAATCTCACCAGAGACTGGAGCATTGAGAATTGAGAAGCTTTCCGGCCAAGTGCTAATCAATGACAAAAAACGATCAGTTATGCAATGATTGCTCCTCCTCCCCAAAGTGCCGATTATCAGCAGTTCATCCAACCTCTGCCTGCCCGATCGATCGACGACTGATACTAAAACCAATAAATACACCTGATACGGTGACAAACATGTACATAAATACAACAAATACACATATATTTATACTATATATGGTCGAAAAGGCGCCAGCTGACTCTGTGAGAACTGAAAAATCTGAACGCTAATCAGCTGCTGCTCCTCTATTGCGTCTTAGCTTTCCCAAAGGCAAATAAATACATACATATACATATATATGAGCACACCTTATGTATATATGTGTTTATATAGTTGAGTCCAACGATAATAACAAATAAAAATCGAGGCCTGATTCTGGAAAGTTTTGCCTCTTTTTTTTTTTTTTTGATTAAATATGTGGAAAATTTGACACAAAACAAGTTAATGTTAAGCCATAAAAATAAGCAAACTTAAATCTGATAACAATAAACCAAGTTAACAATCGATTTTAAATCGTTTAATATTAATGTCTTTTCAGCTCTATTTAGTTAATTATTTTTTCTTATTTTTTTTTATATTTTTATCATCATAAATGTCCCTTAATAAACCGTATAAGACTTGTAAAGCATCAAATCAAAAATCGATTTTAAATCGATTAACCACAATAATGTTTTTAGAGCTCCCTTATCTCCCTTAAAATATTAAAAACTATTCAAATTTTTAATATTTTTTGTTTGAAGATAACTCTAAATTAATATATTTTAAGAGAATCAAAATCTTTGATATTTTTAAATTAAAAAATCGATTTTAAATCGATTAATATCAATGCTGTTACCATCTTTAATTTCCAAATCGACAGCTTCACAGGTCTGATGTAAATTCCCCAAGCACATAAATTATGAAATTTATTCTACCGATCGATGAATATTTTATTTATGTTTCTTATGTATTCCTGTTAGCTGTTGATGATTTCTTTACGACTTTTCGCAATGCTTTTGTTTGTTTATTTAATTTCCTTGTTTCGCTTTCGTTTGCGTTCTTTCATTCATCAGATTTTTAATTGATTTTTAATGCGAACGAAAGCGAAAACGAAAGCGAAAGCCCAAGAATAATAATAATAATAATAATAATAAGCAAACACCTGCTGATACATACATATTTATATGAATATATATGTACGCCTGAATAGTTCCGATACAAGGTTCATTGGGCTTAAGCGAGGATTTCCTGCAATTTTCTTATTTGTGTACAAAGTCAAGAGCCGTGTCACTGTACAGTAACCGTCATATGTATAAGTACCCTTCGAGTGTCCAGAAAGTTAATTGAAATGTTAACAACTTTGGTTTATATTTTTAATTTTCAGTTGATACTTGTAGATATATACTTATAGATAGACCCAGATCGATAAGAAATACCCACTGATACCATAAATAGATATAGCTCGAGAGCCACTTTTCACTTTTCAAGTGCTCTTTTTATATAATATTTTGTTGTTTTTTGTGTTTTTTTTTGTTCGCAGTAGGGTAAATTTAGGGCTCTGATTGATTACAATATATATATATATAGTATATATAATTTATAGTTTGTTATAAGTGCCCTGTCATTACGATAATTGCAAAACGATTGATGGGTTTTGTGTGTGGCTCTCAAAACAGCAAGGAAAATATAGATTGATTTATAAATATATATTTAGAAAATTAAAGACGATTTTAGAAATTATTTTAGTGTTAATTTTAATATTTAAAATGCTTGCCTATCTTTATTTTTAAGTAAATTTTCCTTAAATTTATACCATAAGATATTTTGAAACATATTAAAATATTTTAGAATATTTTTAAGTGTCTTTAAATTTATAAAAAAATATTTTGTAACCTTTTAAAATATCTTATTTATTTTTGAATATTTTTAAGTGTCTTTAAATTTATTAAAAATATTTTGAAACCTATTAAAATATCTTCATATACTTTTTTCAGTCAGCTTTAATTAATTAAAAATATTTTTTCCCTTAAATTTTTACTATAAAATATTCTGAAACCCATTTAAATATTTAAGAGTATTTCTGAAACCTATTAAAATATTTTAGAATATTTTTTTGTGCCTTTAAATTTATAAAAAAATCTTTTGTAACCTATTAAAATATTTTATTATATTTTTTCAGTCTGCTTTAAGTAATTAAAACATATTATTTTCCTTAAATTTATACCATAAAATATTCTGTAACCTTTAAAATATTTGATTATATTTTTCAGTCTGCTTTAATTAATTAAAAATATGATTTCCCCCCGATTTCGATTCCCTATATCGCTCTACTCATTCCCGCATTTCCATTACCGTTGATGACGTCGATTTCGCTTTGAGTGATTCACTCTAAATGCCGGCCGATTTGCTTGGAATTTTATTAAGCAACAAAAAAACAAAAAATATACAAATAAAAATAAGAAAACAAAAGCGTAACGTGTGAATCAGCCATAAGGCGGGGTTTCTTCTGTCTCACCCAGAGAGATACAATGTGGGTGTAAAAGCTGACTAAAACGGCGTTAAAACCGATGAAATTCGTTAATGATATTGGACAAAAATGCTTCAAACATGATTCACATAATTTAAATAATCACCAAAATGTATAAGTTAATGGGGGAAATTGTAAATAAAACACAAATATGAAATATTTGTTGACTGAGGCAGAAATAAAGTAAATTCTTGGCGGAAAACTCACCTTCGATGCATGAAGAATTGACCAGACGGTGTACGTAGCCCCAGCTGTTGTTGTTGTTGTTCGGCGAAGAGGACTCACTTCCGTTTCCGGTTAGTCCGCAGTTTCGCTTTTGTACATTTCCAAAGGATTGCTGCTGCTGCTGTTGCTGCTGCTGATGATGTTGCTGCTTGTTGTAGCGACTCTTGCGTGTGCCATTTTTGTGGCCATTGGAGCTTTGCTGCAAGCCACCTGAAGTCGTGTTGCATGTTGCATGTTGCTGCTGCTGCTGCTGATAGGCCATCGCTAGGTTGTTGGTGTTATTGCTGCCGGTATATTTCTGAGAGCAGCGTTTGTTGCTATTATTTTGATTGCTTGTGTTGTTATTACTGTTGTTGCTGCTGCTGTTGTTGTTGTTACTCTGATTGCAACGCTGCATCTTGTCATCTGCAAAAAGTAATAAAAAAAAGTCATAGGATTAGTTACCTTTTCAAATAACCTTTTTTAAAATATATTTAAAATAGTTTTTACTTTTAAAGAATTCTTTGTTTTGGTTGCAATTCTTCAACTTACAAATCTTCGGCAGATGTAACTGCAAGAAATCTTCGAGAAAGAAATGCATTGCCCTGCTGCAGACATAAACGCGCTTGAATTAATTGTTTTAAAATATATAATATATATATATATCTGTTATATATTATGCTGTGTCCCTTTTCGAAAGGCAACAAACCGCCTGCACTTGCAGTTGAAAGCCAACTAAATGGCGCGATTAGCAAACGCTCGCGATATAAACAAAAAGCTGGTCGCCAAGAAAATATACGCGAGCGTGAATAAAAAACCCAGAGTCACAGAGCCGCTCACAATCCACTTTCCGGTGACGACACAGTGTGAATCATCCAGGGTGCTGCTGATAAAGCGGGAATACGGCGAACTCTACGACATCGCCATAGTTGTGGCTATCTCTCTTTATATCTCTGTTGCTGTCTCTTTCGGCTGGGGGGTGCCAGATAGAAAGACTGAAAGCCAAAGAGCATAAAAAAAACCTAGGCCAAGTCACACCGTGTTTGTGGGGCTTTTGGCCAGGTTTTGACCACGTGCCCTACCAAGCTTCCTACTTAGATAACGAGTATGTATGTATATCAGCGAGTTGTATCTGTATCTTTAACTGTTTATCGTAGTGGGTGGGTGTTTTCCATACCCTGGCCAGTTGGGTTGGGAATACTAGAAAACCAATTGGGTATGTAATAAGAAATGGGTAAAAAGCAACGAGTAAATATATACTTAAGGAGCGAGTGAGGAGTAACGAGTAAATACTTGACAAACAATCAAACTTTTAAACTTAATATAATATGATTGGTTTAGAACCCTAAAGGATTTTAAAGAATTTGTTAGTAACGAGTAAGACGTAACTAGTTACTCGTTACTATTTTCTTTTTAAAATACTTAAGGGGGGATTATACCTGTAAACTGTCAAAATGTATTTAAAATATTTGTTTACTTGTAAATTGGGATAGTCTATAGTAGCGAGTAGCCATAAGCGAGTAAGGAGTAACGAGTATATACTTAAATAAATACATATAAAGGCTCGGTTTGCCAAACTTAACTACTAAAGTGTCATATAATATTTAGAATACATATTAATGTATATTCCCCCCTTATTTATCTAAAAACCAACTTATCTGTCCTGCCAAACTTCGCTCCCTGATCCTGCTGAAGACTTCTCATTCTCTTTCTTCCTCTCTCTCTCTCGTTAAAGTGATGATGTTGATGATGATGATGATTTCAGCTTATTTCAATTTGATTTCCCCCCTCCAATCTTTTGCGAAAAACTTGGTTGGGAAAGAAACTTTGCTCGATTCGATTCGATCCGTGATATCGTTGCTTGTGTTACTGTTTTAGTCGGTTTGTGGAAGCGAAACAAACGGCAAAAATTTTGATACTTTTGGGCAAATGTTTGGATTGTTTTATTGAAAGTGTCTTGAACTGTCCCCGATAACATGTTGATAATAATATTCCACAAAAAAGTCAAAAGCCTAACGTCTAACTAACGGGTAATGTGATGACTTTGAATTTTGTATTTTAGATTTTAGATTTTAGATTGAAGTGTTTAAAGTGTTGACTAAAGAAATCCAGTTTGTGGATAAATAAATAAAACTTAAGACAGATAGCCGGCAAATATCGAATAAACTTGTTTGCAAAAATAGTTGTATTTTTTTTATATTTTTTTTGCAGCTTTTGTTCAAGTTAAATGCGATTTTAGATAGTTTTTATGTTCTTGTTTCAACTGATTGGCGTGGCATATCTTCTAAAAAAATCCTTTCAAGACATCAATCACTTGTAAAAATCATTAAATTAATTTCAAGACTCTAAAATGTCAGGCATTTCTTAAATTTATGCACCTTTTAAATTTTTATAGACAAACATTTAATGTTTATTTTAAATTTTTGTTTCTCTATATTTTAAATTACTTTTGATTTATGAATCAACTGCATTTTATTGCTTCCTGAATATTTTTCCACAGGCTTTCTTGTTTTTTTTTTCGTGCATATTTTGAACACTCAATAAGAACAAACTCTTTGCTGATTTGCCTGTATTTTTAGCCATCAAATAAACGAAAAAGTTAATCATCTGATTCGCTTTCACTGGGCATCTTGGAATTTCGGCAATTTGTTGTTTATGGCGAGAAATGAGCAGCAGCAGCAGCAGTATAAACCCGAAAAAAACAACAACAAATATATATATAAATTATAGAGAAAAAAAAAAACACAAGACTTTGCCGAAAGACAGTCAAGAAACAGGTACCAGTTCGTGCCTAGCGCCGTTCCATGTGCGTACACCTGCCGAAAAAAAAACACCCCCTGCCTCCCATACACAGAGGAAAAAATTATATAAAATGTAAGCCTATTAAAAATATTAAAAAAATAATTAGAAACTTTAAATGCTTTTTTAAGTCAAGAAAATGCAATAACAAAGGTTATTTCTCCCTCATAAAAACCTTAAATATTTGATTAATTTTTAAATTTATATTAAAATTAATTCTTAGCTAAATAACAATATATTTGGAATTTTTAAGGCAGTCATCTCGATCTCATTTCATTAATTCTCATTTAAAATAAAATTCTTAAAAAGGATTTTAGCTTAATTTCTGTTAATAAATATTTTTATATATATTGTTTAATACATTTTTTAAGCAACAATATTTAATAAATAAATCTTGAATAAATTCTTAATTCAAAAGCAATTTAAAACCATTTTAAAGCTAAATATATTATAACAATAAATAAAAGGCTAAATTCTTAAAAAGGATTTTAGCTTGATTTTTGGTAGTAAATATATTTTTTATTATATATTTTTGTATATATATTATATTTTATTTTTATTATATATTTTTTATAATATATTAATCAATATTTCTTTCAGTGCAAGAGTAAGATAGAAGCTCTTTAAAATTGTAGGGGGGTAATTTGTTGTTATTTTTCGGTCAAATCTGAATTTCACAGGCGGCATACTACACGCCCCCCCATCCATCGATTAGGGCGTGTGATTTATATAGGCGCCCCGCACTGAATTCCAAAATCAAAAAAACTAAAAACCAAATCGAACTTGGAATGATAAAATAAAGTAAAACCAGTTTTGCAAAGGCGACAAAAGTTCGCCGAATGATGATGATGATGAGATCGTTGGGGGCACGTGTGTGCAATCACCCCAGGCTCTACACTTTACACATTTGTTTTAATTTAAAAAAAAATTGTATTATTTATTATTACTATAGTTTAGCACTCACTTCTGTATATGTTAAATATTTTTTTAAAATTTTATTTCCTTTCGGTTTTTTTTGGCGGCTTTGCCAAAACGGAAATGCAAGGCGCGCGTGTTTCTATTTTTGTGGCCACCGAACTCATCAACTGCAACGTCATCATCTCATTATTATCATCATCATACCCACCACCATCATCATCATCATCATCATCATCATGATCATGATCATGATCATTATTATGGCTAAAATACGATTCATTCATATATTCTTCGTTCAAGTTAGCAACAACAGCAAAAGTTGAATGAATTCCAACGTATATATATACAAATTGTGAGTATATATACATATATATACAGATATACAGCTATACAGATCTAAAGATCCCAAGGGAACGAAGGCATGAATTGCGACCATAAAGCGCAAATATAAGTAGGTATATATAGCATATAAGAAGGGGATCATTAAGGGAAGACCAAACACAATGAAGGGGAAAACTTCAAAAGAAATTTTATAGGAAAAGATTAGCAAACTTTGTATACACTTTTGAAGGGTAATTTTATTAAATATTAATTAAATATTAATAATATATTATTTTTAATATATTTTTAGGATTTAATATTTATTTTATCATCAATATTTTTAAGTTTTCTAAGCTTTTATGATCTTCAAAGAAAAGCATTAAGTATCCCAAAACCCAGCCAAAGTCAGTGTATCTCATAGTCGTATTACTTGTGTTGCTTTTGTGTTTTTAAAAAGGGTTTTTAGTTGGAATTTCTGGCATATATCCTAGGGGTAAATAAGAGGGAAACCAAACCATAAAACTCCAATAGCTGGTGGCGCATGGCAACAGCTGAAGATCCCCAGAGAGCCAAAAGAGACCCAAAAGATATTTAAGCTGCCGCCACGATGACGACGCATTTGCAGCATGTGTGTGTCTGCTGAGCAGATACAAAGAAACAAAGAAACAAAGATACAAAGATACACAGATATACAGATATAGATACAGTTGCAGAAGGAGAGTTTTTGCGTGAAAGTTTGTTTCAAAAGTGCGAGTAAAACAATTTTAAAAATTATAGAAAAATTATAGAACATTTTTTTAAAATTATAGAAAGTTTTTATATAATGATTTAGGATTTATTAGAATTTATTAAGATTTTTACCTGCATTCAAGAGATACATAAATAAATACTCCTTAAATTTTCATAGTTCAACATTTTTCAGCTTGAACGTTTTTCCAAAAATGCGTTTAAAAAATTGTAAAAAAAATATAGAAAAATTTAAATCAATTGATTAAGGATTTATTGGAATTTTTTAGGATTTATTAGGATTTTTTTTTGGGATTTATTAGAATTTATTAAGATTTTTTACTTCCTTAACTTTTCCTATTTCAACATTTTTCAGCTGGAAAGTTTTTCCAAAAATGCGTGTATAAAATTTTTAAAAATTATAAAAAAATTTAAACCACATGATTTAGGATTTATTGGAATTTTTTAGGATTTATTAAGATTTCTTAAGATTTTCACCTGCATCTTAGAGATACATATATAAATACTCCTTAACTTTTCCTAGTTTAATAATTTTCAGATTGAAAGTTTTATAGAAAAATTTAAAACATATGATTTAGGATTTATTGGAATTTATCAGAATTTATTAGGACTTTTTTTAGGATTTATAAGAATTTCTTAGG